AGAGTTTGTTTGTTTGTTTGTTTGTTTGTTTCCTGCTTTTCTTCTGATGCAGGGACTTGTGCCCTCCTTCTGTAATCTACATTGATCCCAAGAGTCTAAAAGAAGTGAAGGGGAAAATAAGGGAAGTAATGCTGGCAGCCAGGTGGAGCATTCCTTGTAAGCACTAAGCACCTTCCCCATCAGTTGTTCCTGATCCTTGCTATACGGATTTTTTTTCAGGGCTACACTCATAAAAAGTGTAAAGTGGGACTACAACTATCGGAATCTGCAAGCCACCACAACCATTAGCCCACAAATACTTGGGGTTGTAGTCCCAGAAAATGCAAAATGAAGGTTACAGCTGGCTATGAAGAAAACACTGAAATAATGCAAACATTTTCTATACCTTAGTTCAAACATTGATCAATGTAGAGACTAAAATCAGAAAATCAGGAAAAGGTAATGGGGTGCATCCACACTGTAGAATTAATGCTGTTTGACACTACTTGAACTGTGATGTATCAATGCTATACAATCATGAGGATTTTAGTTTTATAAGCTCTTTAGCCTTATTGCTAAATAATAATAATATAATAAAACTTTATTTGTACCCCGCTACCATCTCCCCAAGGGACTCGGTGAGGCCAAGTCCACAGCACATCAATAAACAAAGGCGATAACCAAACTACAAATACTATAATTCCATAGCACTGAACCATAGCAGTTTAAGCAGTGGAATTCTGGAAGGGAGGGGGATTTTGAATTCTAAATGTAATTTTAATTGTATTTGTTATATTTTAACCTAAATCTACACCGTACTATTTAATTTTAATACTTTTTTATTTGCTCTGTTTTAAGAACCGCTACCTGCAGAAAATCTGATGATCGGAGGGTTTAGCAGTTCGAAGCCGAGAGTCAGGGTGAGCTCCAGCTATCAGCCCTAGCTTCTACCTACATAACAGTTTGAAAGCATGTAGTGTGATTAGAACAATAGATACCGCCTCGGCGGGGAGGTAAAAGGACTCACAGTGCAGACATGCCAGTAACGCAATTGGAGTTTATGGACAACAGGCTCCTCAGCAAGTAAAAATGGAACAAAAACACCTCCCCATGGCCAGAGTTGAGCATCAGGTTAAACACCAATGATCCCCTTATAAAGATAACATAATAAATAAGTCCAACAGATAGGTAAATTGTGAAACAAGGACTGTTCAATTCACAGTGGTCACAAAATTGAACAATATGCAAAGAGTTCTGTATAGTCTTTTAGTAATGTCGTTGTATGTTCATCACACCAGAGGCTGTGTATTGTATGTCATTGTTGTCTGTGTAAAAAGGGCACTGAATGTTTGCCTTATATATGTAAAAATGTAATCCACCTTGAGTCCCTTTGGAAAGATAAAGCAGAATATAAATAAAGTGTATTATTATTGTTGTTGCTGTTGTTGGTATTATTATTATTATTATTATTATTATTATTATTATTATTATTAAAGTGTATTAAGCTGTGACCAGGTTGTGTGATTGTCAGCCACCTTGAGTCCCCATAAGGAGAAGGGCAGGGAAAAAATAAAGCAAACAAAATAAATATAAATAAACCGCAAAATTTGTAATGCAAAGATGCACCCTTGAAAGGCCAGCTGTGGCACGAGTGGAGAAGACCCTCACATGTAAAGTTACCAAACTTGGAATCTTCATTCTACACATTAGTACTTCCAGTTTCTATGCTTGAAAAAGCTGAACATTTAAGAAAGCTTTCAGGAAAGGAGTCACTTTATTGTGGAGGCTGGAGGAGATCTCTACAGATATTATGGAAGGCTAAGAACATAAATAGATCTTAGACCAAATCAAGTCTGAACTATCACTAAAAGGAAAGATGGCTAAATTGCAACTGACATACTTTGAAAATTTAATACAAAGACATGACTCACTCAAAAAAAGACAGAAATGCTTTTAAAGTGAGAGGCGGGCAGCATCTACTCTGCCATATAATCCAGTTTCTGATCACAGATTACCTGATATGGCAGTGTAGATCCATACAATCCAGTTCAAAGCAGATAGTGTGAGATCAGATACTGGATTATATGTCAGTGTAGATCCAACCCCAGTTAGAAAAGAGGAAGGTTGTACTACAGGTGGCCCAATTGCCTCAAGGATTTCATGTGTATTCATTCCTGAAATCAAGAGACAATTCTTGGTTCATATAGCATCATTTTTGTATATAGTGATCAATCAATTCCAATTGATGATCCAGTCAAAAGACAGCATACTAACATTTTTGCATCTGCTACATTCCGAAGTATAGTAGGAAAACCGATCCAATGTCTCTGTTAACACAGAAAACCAAAAGCAGATTGAAAGATAGGGTTTCAATTTGGAGCTTCTTTACTTTTACTAAAAAATGTGCTCCCTTTAATGGCTGTGCTCGTTTGTATGGAAAAAGGGATGGTTGGGTGGGTAAAATTCAGGAGTGTTTGTCAGGAGATTTAGGATACGGCCTGAAGGGGGCAATGTTTTTCCAGCAATAGAGTCCAAAAAGCATCCAAGGGAGCAGGAGGATGGATCTCCAGATGTGGACTTTCTTCTGTGATGCAATTCCATTTATTGGAGTTATTTTGACACTTTAGGACAGATGTATTTGACATATACCACCTTTCCTTGCATGAAGACAAATGGATGAAAAAAAGCACCAATAAGTGTCTCTGCGTCAGGAAGTTTCAGAAAGAAAACCAATGGAAAAACCAGTCACTGGTCTGTTTGCACAGAATTTATAGCCAGATCCTTCTCTCTGTCCTGGTTTTATAAAATTCCACTAAATTAGGGTCCAACCCTATCAGCAGTGACATTTTTGGGATATTTTTGGACTGCAGCTCCCATCAGCCCTTGTCATTCAAGCAAATGGCAAGGAATACTGGGAACCACAAATATAATCATATCAGGAGGTCCATACAGTCACCACCGAAGGCACTTCTTCCATGACATGTTTATAACTGGTTTCTGTTATAATACTGGCTTATTCATTTGTAGGATTTTTGTTCTACCCTTCAGTCAAAATGGCATCCAGAAAATGAGCATGGCAGGGCTAAGGAAGGTATGGCCTTCCAAATGTTGTTGGACTACAACTCCTAATGTTCCTCACCTTTGACTGTCCTTAACTAGGGCTGGAAACAATTTCTGGTCCTGCTTCAGAAATCCCTACCACAATTACCCCACCATGTTCACAAATCTGGGACTTATGTAGATGAACATATATTATGACTGTAATGTTTAAAGTGCAGACAAGAAAATAGTTATAAGAAGCATACTTTTAATATCATGATTACCTTAATGAATTAACTAATCATTTGTTAAATGATTAGTTAATTCTGAAATGATTGGAGGAAAGTCTGGAAATAAGGAAATATTATTAGTTATTAATCTCAATGAATCTCTAACCACAGCTGTTAGACACTTCCCAGAACCAGGGTATGGGATTATCCAAACTGCCCATCCTATCCAAACTGTGTTCACATTGTTCTATTCCAATGGTTCCTAACCTGTGGTCCGTGGACCACCAGTAGTCCACAAGAACTAAAATATGGTCCATGGACTCACCATTACTACACAGTTGCAACGAGAGCGACTGGCCTTGCGAAACCCTCTTATAGTGCCGAGACTTATTAAATACTGTTTTCTGTGGGCAAGCAGATGTCAACTACTGGATGGCATATGTTCTGTATCAGAAACTAGAGCTGATGTAGTCTATCCAGTGCAATTTTCTGAATCAACACCCCAAATAACCAAACTGAATCTAAAGTTGACCAACAACTGATTTGTAACCTTTTTGGTGCTAATGTTGGAGAGTGGTCCCTGGTCAAAGTGGTCCCTGATCCAGTGGTCCCTGATCCAGTGATCCCAAGTAAAGTGGTCCCTGATCAAGTGATCCCTGGTCAAACGGTTCAGACTATTCTGTAGTCGGAAGTATGTGCTGATGCTGTTGAACTACAATTCCCAGCAGCCTTAACCAATACAATGAATGATGAGGAATGTTGGTGTGTGGACCTCCACACACTGATGGACTACAACTTATCCCATTATCCCTCATCACTATCCAAGTTGGCATAGAGCAATGGGAGCTGCAACATAGCAATAGCTGAAGGATCACAAGTTGCCCATCACCTGGTTATATTGTTGAATGGAGGCTTGTGAGATCCAGGTTCTAGTGTCTGGTACACCATGAAACTCTTGAGCCTGTCACTGTTTTCTACTAATCTAACTCATAGATTTGTTATTATGAAAATAAAATGGGAAGGAAGAAAAAATACATGCTCCATTCTGAAATGATTGGAGGAAAGTCTGGAAATAAGGAAATATTATTAGTTATTAATCTTTGTATGAATTATTTTAAATGTAAATTGCCCTATAATCCCTGAGCAGTCTAGAGATATGCAGTGAACATATTTAACAAAATTTTGTTTAGATAGACAGGAAGAACACAGGGCTCATGTCCCGACAAATACAGAACAGGTAAGAAATTGTAGCATATTTAGATATAAGTTAAACAGTTCCAGGTGCTAATAAATTCATATACAACTATGTCTCAGATAAGTACATGTGTTCCTGGATATCAGTTCCTGAGCAGAAAAAAATGATACCAGCACTCTGTGAGAGAAGGAAAGGCGGCTCAGCTGGCTGTGTGGCTGGCAGAGGGGGCCCAGAGGTGGGGCTGAAGGAGGCAGTGGCACAACCCCTCACAAATTGTGGATTGACCCCTCTAGGGGTTGCGACCCCCAGGTTGAGAACCGCTTTATTGCAGAGTGGAATTGGACTAATTGAACCACTATTCCCAGGTGAAGTTCACATATAGTGAACTAAGACCACCATCACTACTCATGTGGCTGGAGATGGTGAATGTTGTGGTTTAAGTGGCTGGACTGGATGAGCATCAGAATCCCAAATGTTTGGAGAACACCAAGTTAAGGAAGACTTAAATGTATGCGTTTGGAAGAACTGGACTGTGTCCTCCTTCTGCTGCCACTCACTTTGCTGTCCCCCATGTTTTGATGCACATGTGAGCCTTGTTGTTTCAGTGATGCTGTAACAATGTGCCTTCTTCTCCTCTCTTTTCCGCCTGCTTAGAGAGCAATTTCAGAATGCGAGTGTTGTCATAGGCACAGCTCTTCTGGGTGCCAAGTTGGAGGTGGCACCTACCCACAGAGTTAAGCATGTAGAACAACACATTAAAATAAATGAGTGTTTTGCTACTCAGTATTATTTGTCATGGGAGGCAGTTCCAAAGGAAGGGAAGATTGGTCCCTGACTAAACTTCCCTATCTTTCAAAATAGGATACTATCTCATCTCTTCAACACTGCAGCTTTTCCATGCTTCTATTTCCCTCTGGGGATGATCATTAGGAAGGAGACAGATTTGGACCAGTGGATGCCAGGTGCCACCCTCAATCTGTTACCCATCAAAGGTGACAAGGGCTCTGCAACAGACCACTATTTCCTCAAGTGCTGCGCCTGCTACCATCTCCGATTTTGCCTGGGGTTGTTCTTATTTTAAACAGCTGCTCTTTAAAATCTGGCCTGCTCAATGCCACCCCCACCGCCTTCCCCAAAGCCTCCTGCAGAACAAAGCTGCGCTGTGTGAAGGGAAATGCTGAGGCCTGGGCGGGAATCCCAGCTCGGAGGGCTCTAGGCCAAACAGCTGGGTCCATTGTGCAAGAGAGGGTTGGGTCTTTGCTCTGTGCTTTATATCTTGGCATTTGTGGTGGGGGATGTCAGAGGGCCAAATGGCCATGGTGTCAGGGACTGTGGAAATTATTAGAGCATGTTGGTGCTTGCTGGAGACTCCCTGGAGATGTTAAGGAGGGAATTGGCCTTACAGGAGCAGCCAGGTTTTTCAAAAAGTAATCCTCGCATACAAAAAGTCTATTCAAAGAACCCAGTGTTCTCAGATGCCAAAAGTAAAGGGAGGCAAAGTTCTTCTAGATGAGAGTTGTATGAAGCTGATGTTTCCTCATCAAATACCTCCAGAGTCTATTAAGTTTCTATAAGTCTCAAGAACCGGCAAGAGTAGGGATGGGGGGAACCTCAAGTCGTGGGCCAGATCAGGTCAGACTGGATACAAGTCAAGTCCACTGAGATTTCCCAAACAACCTTTTCTCCTTCTTAGTTTTTGCACAGGCTTCTCCCCCTGCTCAGTTAGTTTTAAAAGACTGAAATGAATGGCTGTTGCTGTCAGTAAATTACTGAAAGCCAGAGCATCAGGCTAAAACACTCTGGTACTTTGGATTCTGTCCTCCATTTCCATCCATCCATTGGAGCCTCCAGTGGTGCAATGGGTTAAACCCTTGTGCCAGCAGGACTGAAGGCTGACAGGTCGGAGGTTCAAATCCGGTGAGAGCGCAGATGAGCTCACTCTGCCAGCTCCAGCCCCCCATGCAGAGACATGAGAGAAGCCTCTCACAAGGATGGTAAAACTTCAAAGAATGGAGGCAAAGAGTGTGTGTTTTCAATATAAATAAATAAATTGATGCAAGTAACATAAGGAATTATATATTATTTATTAGAATAAGAAAACTACAGTGTTAACACAATAGATCAGGAAAAATTACGATCGCAGTAGTGGCCCCCAGTGGTGCAATGGGTTAAATCCTTGTGCCGGCAGAACTGAAGACTGACAGGTTGGAGGTTCAAATTCGAGGAGAGTGTGAATGAGCTCTATCGGCTCCAGATCCCCATACAGAAGCCTCCCACAAGGATGGTAAAGCATCAAAACATCTGGGTGTCCCCTGGGCAGCGTTTTTGCAGATGGCCAATTCTCTCACACCAAAAGCGACTTGCAGTTTCTCAAGTTGTTCCTGACATGAAAAAAAATCATCCATTACTTTATTTATATCCTACCTATCTCCCAGGCTAGGACTCAAGGTGGCTGACAAAAAGAGAATTCAACAAAGCACATCATACAGAAAAACATGCAAATTTAAGATTAAGATCAGAATTAAAACCAATTAAAATTTTATTTTAAAACAGGTGAAAACCAATATAGCAGTGCAAAATGCATTTTTCCTAAAATAACTTTTCAAGAGTTTACTGAAAGAGAAAGGTCTTAACCTGTTACTGAAAGGAAAACAAAAAAGCAGCCATCTTAACGTCCCTAGGGAAAGAGTTCTCACCAACCCTTGAAGGCTGTGGGATAAAAAATGTGCCTCCCCTGTGTATTGTAGAGATTCGGCAGACTCTTATGGGAAAATAGTGTCTTTCAAGTAGACTATGCCTGAGGCATGTAGTAGGGGCGTGCAATTCAGGAAAACCCCACGCTGTTTTTGGTACCGAATTTTGGCTGCCCCCCGTTCTGGAACTTCCCGAAATCAGAAAAGGAAACATGCCATTTTGCGATTAGAGACTCTTAGCAATGGCTGTGTTTTTCCTAGTTCTTCTGTAGATATCACATACTGGTAAATTGAGTCCCAGAGAGACAAACAGACACACACACAGAGCCCTCCCCAATCTAGTACTCCAATGACTCTTCTCTAAGTATGGCTCCAAGTCAGGCATGTAGCGGGGGGATGGGACGGGGGACTTGAGGGTGGTCCATGAGAAGGCCTTACTGGTACATTATTTAAACTGTTAGGTTTATTCATATCATGATCTGATCACTATGCTCAATGTATCCCATATGCATGGGGGTATTGGGATAACAAAACAAAAGATCCTCTCTCACTCAGACTCAGCCCCCCCCCCCCCCCGCCATCAAACTCTGTCCGTCCGTCCCCCCCCAAATCAAAATCCTGGCTACGAGCCTGCTCCAAGTCCATTATATTTCAAAGTATTGGTTTTTTTGCCACCAAGCCAGCTTCAACTTATGGCAACTTACAGCAATCATTGTCATTTACAGTCCTGCTCATGCCTTGCAAACTCAGGGCAGTGGCTTTGTTGTTTGTTGTTTATTTGTTCAGTCGCTTCCGACTCTTTGTGATCTTATGGATCAGCCCACGCCAGAGTTCTCTGTTGGCTGTTGCCACCCCCAGCTCCTTCAGTCAAGCCAGTCACTTCAAGAATACCGTCCATCCATCTTGCCCTTGGTCGGCCCCTCTTCCTTTTTCCTTCCATTTTCCCAGCATCATTGTATTCTCTAAGCTTTCCTGTCTTTTTATTAAGTGGCCAAAGCGGTGGTTGTAATTTAATTAATCCACGATACGTATTCTTCTTTTCAATTGTTTTTCACTTTGCCAAGCACCATCATCTTTTCCTAAAACCTTGGACACATCTAAGCTGACCACTTAGAGTGAAAAGCACTTCCATGGCAGCCAAATCAATGACAGCAACCCCATGGCAGCAACACCAGAAGCACTCCAAGTGGCTAGATACTGGTCAAAGGACATTTAATCAACTACCAAACTCACAAATTTTGTATGTTTCTGTTATTTTTGCTTTGTTCTGTTAGAAATGTGATATAATCGACTGGTTACACTGACACGATAAATAAATAAATAGCCAAATCAAGCTGATTTAATTCAAATAAAGTGGCTTAATGCAGTCTAGATCCATGTTAAGCAAAGTCCCAGAATTAGGAACAATCCATGAAACTTGGGCCTATGTAAACGGTTGCGAAGGTTTCCAGGATGGAACCAGACACTGCCATCCCATGTTCACAAGATTCAGGCAACCCAGGGACATGAGATGCACTCACCGTTTCCTCCTGTTCTTGTGGCGGTGGCCATCAGGTACAACATGAGTCCTGCCAGTCATTCATCACCTGAGGTGATATTGGCTAGATTGCCAGGATGATCAGAGAAGGGAGGAAGAAAGGAAGGGGGATTCCTCCTTTGCTTCCTCCCCATTGCTTTGGCACCCCAGGTTGTTGTTTTGTTTTTGTTTTTTTCGTGTCAGAAGCGACTTGAGAAACTGCAAGTCGCTTCTGGTGTGAAAGAATTGGCCGTTTGCAATGATGTTGCCCAGGGGATGCCTGAATGTTTTGATGTTTTACCATCTTTGTGGGAGGCTTCTCTCATGTCCCCACATGGGGAACTGGAGCTGACAGGGGGAACTCATCCTCGCTCTCCCCGGACAGTTGAAGTTACTCCAGGTGACGAGCAACTGACAGGACCCGTGTCACATCCAGAGACCACCCCGTTCAAAGGGGAATGGTAGGGAACAGTAAGGATGGCACCACTGTGTGGTGAGGACTCCCTTCAGCCTTTGCAGTGGTCATGTGGATGAGCTGTATAACCCATTCCAGGGTTAATCCAGTGTATGCCATGCTAGATTCGGTTCAGAATAAGTGATCAGTGTGGATCCTTCTCTACTTACCAGTTTTTTGAGCAGTCCACAATATCTGTAAAAACTCTCCTCTAGCACGATATTTCAAGTCCGAGTGGAGGCCAGCCTCTCTCTTTCACTCATTGGTCTCCCAGGACTAAATATTAATATGAGATGCCATGAGGGCCATTCAGTTCCAATAATAAAGACTCGGAGAGAAAACAAAAGGGCCTTAATGGAAAAAGACAAACCACAAAGACTCATTCGTTATGATGGAAATTCATGGAAAGAGTCAGAAGGCAGCGCAGCAATGGCTCCTCTATTACAGTTAAAACTATACTGTATAGACTAGTGGTTCTAAACCTTCCCAATGCCGTGACCCCTTAACACAGTTCCTCATGTTGTGGTGACCCCCAATCATAAATTATTTTTGTTGCTTCTTCACAACTGTAATTTTGCTACTGTTATTAATTTTAATGTAAATACAGGGTGAGGCAGCATAACTTCTTTTTTTCAAAACTTAATAAAACCCATTGTATGAATCAGATTTTTTTTATAATGTAGGCGCATACTTAAAGTTTTGTTTTACATAGTTTTGAAGATCAAATTAGGTAGGTGACGTCTCCCATTCTCCATTCTCCATACACTGAGTAAAACGATTTCTGGCGTTTGTCATGACTCTTGCAAGCATAGCAGGCGTTATGTTGGCAATTTTTTCCTCGATGTTGGTCTTCAAATCTTGTAGGGTCCTTGGACAGTTCACATAAACACAGGATTTCAAAAAACCCCA